CACAACCAAGGTCTCTATCTTTACCGTCAAACTTTGGCTGTTCTCTCTGTGCAGCACCAGACAATCCATATATTTCAGGTAATTTTTAGGTTAAAGCAGTTTTGCATTAACCAATTTGATATAGCATGTAATATGATGAAGTGATTATGTTAGTAAACTGAGCTGACATACAGTTAATCACACTTTGAAAAGACATTGATTATTGGTATATGTTCATAATTACATTTTAGTGAAAGAGATTCAGTTCTAATAAATTTTTAGATGTAATCCTTTTCATGTATAGTTAAACTGATAAAACTAAAAAAATATTCTTTACATGAATTTACATTCTCTGTGACAGATTACACCAGGAGGAAACTTTATTGATATACGTACAATAGGACGAGTCTGCTATGAGGATGATGATTACTACCTTTCAACTGTCTTGCCTGACCGGATGCAAGCTACATATCAGCATGGAAGAGAGAAACTTATCAATTCCTTAAAGCACAGGTAGTGTATCATCTACACATGCTGGACTTCTTTTTTCCTCTCTTCTAGTCTCCTCATCTTTTCTTATGTTCTTATTCTTATACTTTTTCTTCTCCTTTGCCTGCTCTTTTTTTATTTCATCTTCATCATCATCCTTTTTTGAGTAAATTATGAAATATTCTCAGTGAGCTTGGGCTATATGCAAGCATGGACCCATTGCATTCCAAGAATGCAGGTTTTGTTTCTAGCCACTCTGACAAGTACCTCAATTCCTTCATCCTTTTGTATGTACCTGAATTCTCATATCTGATATGTCATAATATGCAATACTGTATTTATTTTAATAACTATGTTACATTTTCATAATAATTTTATAGTCTAGCTTTATATTTATGATTTGTTTATGTTTATGAAGATTGTTAAAGATTAATGTAGAGATTGTTAAAGACTGAAGTAAAGTGGAAAGTAGGCATTTCTTTTTTGGAATTTTGCTATGAACTCTCTACTTAAATAAATTTTAAAAAATAAACAAATATGAAAATAGATACAATTTTCAACAAGGGTAGCAATACTCAAGCAGCAGTGTATATGTACATAAAGATATACACACCATTGTCGCTTTCTTCATTTGATGCCTCCATGTTACTGGTCAGAGAATTTCCCCACATTTCTGTGACAGAAATGTCCTGTCATTAGTGTCCTCACTAGAATACATAAAAGAAACAATGGCATGGGAATGGACAGGAGCATGAAGACCGAATATGTTGAGAGTGATGTGTTGGCAGCAATCAGGTGGTCAGTAGTGTGCCAGTAGTGGTCTAGAGTGAGGGATGAGGATTGTCCACATTTTCCTTGCCAAGAATAGCTCCAAAAACAGCAGAAAGGTAGTGAGAGGAGCCAGCCATTGCAAGCTTGAAGTACATCAAAGTTTTGCACCTAGCTATGTTAACCCAATGCCGCTGGAGAAAATGAATAAGAAATGGGGAAAATGCAGTGCTCATTTTCTGTATTTTTGTGAAATGTCTGCTAGTGCTTAGCCACAAAGGAGTCAATTAGTAGACCTTGTAACCTTACATGTTTTTACTAGTGCTATGAATATCAGTGGTGTTATTTTTATTATAAACATTATAATTACTAAAATGTTATAAACATTAGTAAGATAAAATATTGTAAAATATTTTTGTAAATCAAAGAGAAGGGTAAACAGGTGAGACAGGCAGTACTCGTAACTGGCTCATCAGTACTTAGTACAAATGTAGCCATCTATGTGTAAAAACAATCAAACAAGTAACTCACAGTGGGTATAGCACATACATAGGCTTACACGTCATGCCTGTCAGCATTGGGTAAAGGGGAAAATAGGAGAAACTAACTAGTGATGTAGACCTCAGATGGATGAGATATCAGTTTCTTTAAAAATACATCTTTTGGTGATTATTTTAAAATATCATTACCCCTTAACCCAATGGCGCCGGGTGTACAAAAGAAAAAAAAAATAAGCTTAAACAAACAAAGGCGGCGCGCCGACTTTGAGCGCATGAGTAGGGGACATCAGCCCGAATCACTGGCTCGCCACGCTTTGGCACGCCGCCGGCTCGTTTGGCTGCATGCCAGCTTTCGAGCTCTTTGTTTACACGCCGATCGGCGTCACCCGGCACGAAGGGGTTAAATCCAAAATTGATCTCACTTAGAATGGAAAGTAATCACTGACATTTTAGAGGAATGTTTCCCCAGCTGACTACATATATAAATCATAGTGGAGAGTGCTTGTATACATCAACAGGTTAAGGTGTTATGGCTTTTGCATTTATAACTGTATTTTAGTCTCACTGAAAACTGAATGAAAATTCTACTATTAGTCAATAAGAACCCCCAATAACATGAAGCCAGACATTCGTGAGAAGGATAGATTTTGATGTACTGTATAGAAGTTGTATAGCTGCATCAGATCATTGAATGTTGTATTGTCCTATATTTTTGTTAGGAATTCATAAATTATAGCGCCTAGTTTTTTGTATTGGAATTCATA